CCCGGGCTCGCCCCAGCCCGAGGCCGCCGACGACGCAGAGCCCGGCCGGCTGCCCGGGGGTGTCTCTCGGCGCACGAAGTCTGCAACAGACCCATCGCCCGGCGTCACGCCCCCATCCATCGCGCCCGCCGATGGTGTGACGGTTAGCGTATCGGACTGTTGTACCCAAGTTGGCGAGGTCAAATCCGATCGAAGCCGTGGAAGGGCGAAAAAATCCTTCGTACGCCGTCCTTTCGGAGGGGAAGTAAAGCCGGCTGTCCCATGTTAGAAGATTTACTTGCATGTAAAAGATTCTTAAGCCTAAATGACGCCTCTGAGCTAAATTCAAATCGCCTGTATGTCACCCAAGAAATACCTCCTTTCTCAGTTAGCAGGTGAAAGGAGCGTAGCGAAATTTCCAGACGGAAGAGCGGGCTTCATGACCTGAGTCTCACCACGTAAAATAAGGCTTCAATTCAATCCGCACACTCTGACACTTTAAGCGTGGCTTAAATGCTTTAAGGGAGGCTTACATGTGGAATATGTCCTGAATATCAACATATGTGGCGCTGTCCCGCCAGATTTGCTTTCTTTCTGTCAAATATCCTAAAGTTTTACACTCTGCTGTAATTCCATATAGTCCTACAAAAAATTGAGTTTTGGGACTACTTATGAACAACATCACAGAACATAAGAGAACACAAGCGTCTAATTCCTCTGTTAAGCAAACATCGTTATTTTTGTCTTTTTACGGTACATTCTGAGTGCTGAAAAATAGATTAAGAAAATGTACTGTGTGGTTAGAATCAAAGTGCATCTGCCGCTCACAATGTGTTAGTGCAAGAGAATGTGGAATGCAAAGGAGAAAAGAGTTCAGTCAATAACTGTTTTAATATCGACCAACCCTAAAATATTTCGTATATTTTGTCATGGAAAAAGAAGGAAATGACCTAGGTAGTCGGGAAAAATACGGAAAATTAGTTCTATTAAAAGAGTGGTTATCCTGTTCTTCTTGAAAGTTTGCAGTGTAATTTATCTTCATCTACTATTTCGTTGTTTGCTTGATATACTATTTCATTGTTATACGGTTTATTTGAAACACTATTTATTGTATAAAAACAATTTCCTCTGAAACATATTTTGTATGTCCTGAATTCCATTTTATCCTTACGTCAACCCTGGACTCAACTCATTAGTTTTTACTTGCAACAGCATGAATGCTGCTACACAAAATCACACGAAAAGGTTTTCTAAAAAATACCACGCACAATGCTCAAGAACAACAAATAATTTTAAAAAACTCGTATAACACTGCAAATAATGATATATTTTAACAAAATGGCTTCACGAATGCTGCAATAACGTAGTATAATATATACAGTACTACAGTCCTTTTCATGCCAAAAACATAAAATAAGTTGCTGTTCCATTACACAACAAGTGTATTGTAGGCGCCTCTTCTTTGGAGCCTCGGTTGCGCATTACATCAGCTGCATCATAAGCAATACTGAATTTGGGAAATTTGTCGGTACGCGCATTTTGAGAATAGGCGGAATAATGTAATCAAATATTTGCATGTTTAGGTCAAAATCGAAACTGTTTCAATTTTTTTCGAATTTTCTACGAGTTTCTGGATTTTTAAGAAAACCCAGGATACCTCTCAAATGGCAGGAGAGTGTATAGCTTTCTTCTAATTTATTGGCGCATCGGAAATCAGTAATATAGATATCAGTCTCTTATTGTCATTATCATTTCTCCTCTTCCCTTTATGTGAAGGCTGAAACAAAGAGAAATATATCGCTCGCATTGAAAGGAGTTTCTCATGGCCCCTGGTTCCTGACTAGCGTCTGATAAATTGAACGACTTCAGATCGATTTCGCAATCCAATTATCTTAATTGATCTTGAGAAACAAACAACGAAAAATGTCAAAATTGGAAAAATATATGGACTTTGCAGCACAGTCAAGAGTTAATTCTTCTTTCCAATAATTTTGAAATAAAATTGGGTATGTACTAGGTACATAATGATTTGTTCGTATATAATTTTAATACGTAAACTTGAGTAATTCACAATAAATAATTCCAAATACGTACGTAATACATTATAATACAATAATTCTGCATTGCACAGCCACTCATGAACGATATGAAAAATACAGGTGGCATAGACCGGCACCTGTATTTATAGAAATATCTTGAAATTACTCAAATAGGTGTTTCACGGAAATAATGCTTTGGAATGTAATGATATCAGTGAGACAATTGTTTTGAGTAAATTAAATAAAATTACAAAAAAAGAAATGGATTGAGGAAGGGCATAGCCCCCATCTCCCCCCTCCCAGCTTCCCGGGATCCGCAGTTGCTCAGTAATCTGTTTTGCCTATCTTGAACATTTGTTCACAAGCCACCACTGCTGAGGAGGGACGAGTACGAGGAAGGAATGAAGAGCGCTGTCTGTGACCCCTTTATTTAAGGCACTACTCCGACATTTGCCTGGTTTTGATCGGAAAGACAACGAAAAACTACGGTTGCTAGGATTTTCCTTCGACAGTCGTTGAATTCGACGTAGCTTAGTCTTGCGTCGAAAACCCTCTCCTGTCTGCACTAGTGCCCTAGGAACTCCCGATCAATAATGCTGCGGAGAACGATGTTGCCGCCGAACCATTGCAGCGGCCACACTTTTCTTCGCTAAACATTAATGACACAATTCATGAGCTTTTCCAAAGTGAAGCATTTCCAGGAGCACAATTTTCCAGGCAGGGTAAGTGGGATTGGAATTAAAGATATACTATTTCACTGGTTTTCGGATACTGTTTAACACAGAAGAAATGCAATTTTTGAACTCAATATTTGTCAGAATGATGAAGGAGCGTCTTACCGAGCGAAGTTCATCAGGGCGTAGCGCGCTGACTTTGAATTGAATTGAATTTGCCTTATTTTACGTGGCGAGACTCGGGCCATCAGGCTCGCTCTTCCTTCTGACCACGCAAATTTCGCTGCGCTCCTTTCATCAACTAGCATAGAAAGGAAGTATTTCTTGGGAGAGAAACAGGCGATTTCAATTTAACTCAGAGGCGTCATTTAGGCTTGAGAATCTTTTACATGCAAGTAAATCTACTAACATGGGACAGCCGGCTTTACTTCCCCTCCTAAAGAAGGCGTACGAAGGATTTTTTCGCCCTTAAACTTCGCAATCGGGAGGCTCGGATTCAATACCCGCGCCAGCCATCGTGACCGGGGTTTTTCATGGTTTCCCTTGGTCACCTAGGCGAATGCTGGGATAGTTCTACTCAAAAGGCCACGACCGTAAAATCGGCTTTGCCGAGTCGATTTCGTGATGTCACGAAGTTTAGTTGTCCGGATTGGGGTTCACGTCAGGCTGACAGCCGGTCAAAAATGTATTCACGAAGTTTGGGACTCCCAAGTTTCGGGATGACGTCAGGCTGACAGCCGGTCGTAAAACAGTCAAATTATGATGGCTCGTAGTAGCTGATCCCAAAACGACGACTCCAGCGAACTGGGATAAGGTTTAGAAGATAATGATGAAAGAGCGTCTTAAGAGTATTTTGATACGTAAAACTATACAGAATTCAAATCGAATTTGATGTCCCTTTAGAAAGAAGCTCCCCAATCGCGCGTTCTTGCTTCGCCTCGCCTGACCACGCATTTCCGAGGCGACGCCTCGCATAACGAAGCGCGCACCCGCTCCCCGGCCACAACGCATGCCTTGCGCGCGCTCCGCTCTGGCGCGCCCGGAAGCGGCCCGCCCAGCAGACGAGGGCGCGTCTGCAGCAAGCGTGTCGCTTGGCTCGAGGAGCTAAACAATCAAAAACAGCGCGGAGACCAGGGAATAACGCGTTAAAATGTATGCAATTTTTAATGCAACGGCCACGCCTCTCCGCCCGCCTCGATCCCCGCCCGCCGGGCGTGTGGCTCGCTGGCAGCGAGCGGCAGGCGGTGATGGGAGTTTATACGGCGCTCCTGTCTTTGCGCGCGCCGCGCCGGCCTCGGATTTTTCGCGGCGGCGGGGCAGGGCGGGGGGCTGGGGCGGGGCGGGGAGAGAGCACGCTCGTGCTCGCCCTCGCTCCCTAGGACGCGGGCCGGCCAAGCGCTACGAGTAGCCAGCCGTCCCCCCGCGCCTCCTCCTCCTCCTCCTCCACCCTGGCTCCCGCCCCGCGCTTTCTCTTCCCACCCCCCGCCGCCGCCGCCGCCGCACCGGCTCCACGGCGCACCTGCCCGACTCCGGGCCCGGCCTAATGAAAAATACAGGGCGCAGCTTACTGCTGTAGCACTTAGAGGGTTAGGGGCAGACGAGGTGTGGGTGTGCACTTAATATTACCCTCCCGGCTTTCATACGCTGTTAATTAATTCACATTACCTCCATACAAAACATTAGAAGCCTGAAGCATTAAACACATTAGCTTTTTATTTAACAAAACCCCTCTACGCCGTCGCCGATTCTGCTCTGAATCGCGTAAGTAACCGGAACGAGAAAATTGGATTGAAAAAAGTGAGATGATAAGTACTTGGCGGAGTGGAAGCAAGATTGTTCTCAAAGATTGCTTGATTCAATGCTCGTTATCGTATTGACCTAATAAAGAGAGCTTAACGAAAACGTTATTGATAATTAAGAAATCGTTTCTTAAGATAACATAAAATCCATCGAAACCTGCTTTTGCATTAAATAATATTGTTGGCAATGACAACGTCTTTAATTATTTTATGAAAAATGCCAAAGATATCACACCACAATACCTATATTAAGATAACATTCCAAATACGCAATTAACTCTCTCAGAAGATTTATCTATTAAAAATTACTGATTATTTTCTAAAGATTACCTACTTCTATGGCTTCCAAAGTACTACTAAAATATTTTATTTTAAATTTCTAAAACAAAAAATACTTTTTAAAATATACCTTAATAAGCATATGTGTCGACACGTATTACATGAAGAG